GAAGGAAGCACACCAAATTGTTTATGGTGAGCATATCCCGGAAGTGAGATTGGAGGGATCTGCATTTCTTGTATTTCTTTACAGGCCTCTGTGCTGTCTGAACTTTTAAAAACCGCCATGTGCTAATATCGTAATTGAAAAACAAAAAACAACAAAACCACCACCAACGCAAAAACTCTGCCAAGAGACACAATCATTTGAGGATGCTCAACTGCACAGCTCGCCCTTCCACTCCTCTCCTTGTCTCAAGAGGTGTAGGCATAGAATAGGTGATACGGGAAAAAAAGATTTTGCGACCAAGGAAGTTGGTGAAACACTGGGTCAGACAAAATCCATCAGGCTCCTTCTCTGGGGGCACTTTCAGGACTTCGACAAGCTAACGTTGACTGTGAAGTTAATACGGGACACTTTGTAGCTGAGGCCATGCTAATTTGGCCCCAGAACCCTTGTCTTTCCCCATGTCTCATGGAACTAGTGTTTTTTAGAACAAGCGTTGGAAATGCAGCTCCAGATACTTTAAAACCAACCCTGAAGTTGGTTGTCAGAGGCCACATCCCTGGATGGTGTCTTGGTCCCGCCTGCCCTCATCCCACCCACACACCCAGCTCTCCTTAGCATTGCTTTCACTGAATTGAGCTTGGCCTCAAAGCCATGAGCTTGTGGGTGTGTGTATGGATTTGTAGGATCCAGTGTGTGTCGTATGTGTAGGTCCGACTTCTGCCTCTGAGCCTACATGCACATGTACACTTTCCAGTGATGACGTGAATGGTGTTTGGGCCGGGGAGGGTGTGTGTGTGTGTGTGTGAAGCTGTGTGTGGGACCCTCCTCTACGGTAGACCCTGTGGCTCAGCCTAGAATTCTCACACCCGCTATACACAGGAAATAAGCTCATTCGCAAAGCCACACCACAAGTGTGAGGGAATGTGTGGTTTGCTGTCCTGCCAAGGTGCTGAGTGGGAGTAATTTCGGGTGTGGACAGCTGTCCCTTTGGTGCACCATTTGCAGGAGGAGGGAGAGCCTAACCTCTGTTAAGCTCCTGCTATGTGTCAGGTACTCTCCAGGGCACATCATAGTCATTATTTTGTCTTTGATTCCCCACAAGCACTCTGTAAGGGAGGGATTTATTATTGCAGCTTTACAGATAAGTAAACTGGAGTTCGGAGAGGTGAAGCCACTCATTCAAGGAAATGGCGGAACCGGGATTGTAGCTGGGTCTGCCTGAGTCTGAAATGCACGTTCTTTGCACTACATCATCCTCATTGGCTCTCTCACATTGGGTCTTGCTCCAAGGTGTCTGCCCTTGTGGTACCCAACGAGCAGAACCCAGGAACAGTGACCTTAGCCTCATGTCCTAGGTGCTCTCCAAAATGGGTCTTTGTCCTTCTCAGAACTGCCTTGACTCTTCCAGGAAGCCTTCCGGATCGCCTAAGGGAAGCTTTCTCCTGTCCTCTGAGCCCTCAGCCCATTCTCTTGCCCCATCACTTGGCCCCTTTTCCGTGGAGAAGAACCTCCATCCCTGAGCCCCGAGGGTGAGGGACCCCATCTGAGTCATCTATGAGCACAGCGTGGGTGAGAGAGACTGCCCCGCCCATCCAGGGTGTGGATGAGTCCCCCTGAAGTGCAGGCAGAGCCAGCATGTTTTCCCAGCTCCCACAAAAGGCTGCAGGCCTTGTAGTTGGGGACGGGAGAAAGGCTGGGGCATGCTGACTAGGCGGAAATTGTGTGTCAAGAAAAACTCCAAAGGCGGAAGGTTGAGGCAGAGGAAACCTGGAAATTCTTGCTCAGGTGGGGACTCCCCCTGTAAACTGAAGGCTCAGAGTTAGAAAGTAAGGAGTGGGCAGGTAGCTGACTATGCCTTGCTGGGCCTCCACCTTCCTGGAGTTTGAAGCACGAATCAGCAGGACCAATTGGCTCTACACATGCGGTGGCAGTGTGTGTGGGCCTGCAGCGGGAGGGAGCAAGGGGAGAGGGGAGGACATCCTATGGCACTTGGCAGGGGCAGGAATGGCAACTTTCCAGATGGAAGTTCAGATGTTCCTTGCCCAGGGCCAACTGCACCTCCATCGGGGATAAAAATAGCTCTTCCTCTCCCCTTCTCCCATCATTCTCTCTCCCTCCAACTTCCCAGTGCCCGGGCAGATGCTTCCGCCCATGAGGCTCCATCCCAGATGCTAAATATACCCTCACATATCCATCCGCTCCCAACCGGACACTCCTCCGTCTCTCAAGCAGCACAGGTCACTGAGGCTAAATCACTTCTCACGTGTCCATCTGGATGCTCTGGGTGACTCCTCTTTCTCTCAGGAGGTTCTTGTCACCTGGGGCACCTGGGTATGCCCCAGAAACCAGAAGGATTCTTGGGTCCCCTAACTCAAGCCTATCGCCCTGCTCCATGGGGGGGTCACAGCCTGGCACCACTCTGCCGCTGCCCTGCTGAGAGACTGTGGGAAGGTAGTGCCTTGTCCTCTCTGGGCCTCAGGAGGCTCATCCATTGTGGGGTAAGGGACTGGACTTGGGGATTTCTAGAGGCCTTTTTACTACCTGACACTCCGTGTGCCAGATCTTCAAGAAAAATGCTCCCAGTGAGGTGGGGGCTGATGGTAGGCAGTGTGGCAAGAGCCAACAACCATGAAGGAAAGAGGTGATTCAGCTGTCTGCATGCCTCCCCCGGACCTTCAGAAAGGTTTTGCTGTCCCCCCTCAGCTTGAAGGGCTGCTGGATACACAGGGAGCCTGGCCCCATGCCCAGCAGCAGCCCTCTGCTATCAGACCCCCCACTACAGCCCCTGGACCCCTGTTCCCAGTACTCCTTACCTGCCCAGCCCAGGAGCCCTCTGGCCCCATTCACATGGTCCTTCTGGCCTAGCCTGGCTGCCCAGACACAGTTTCAGCTCCCCTCGCCGTCGTAGCCACCGCCTGTCTCCCCGCGCCCACGTCCCACCCTGACTTCCTGCCTCCTCCTGAGGGCTCCTCAGCCAACCGGGCCCCAGCCGCCCAACCACAAGCCTCCAGCACCCTAAGCTTCCTGCCGCCATAGCCCCCCGCTCCTCAGCTCCTGGGGGTCCCCTACATCTCCAGCCCAGGCTCTACTCACCCTGAGGTTGGCACTTGGAGGATATTTGATGGAACTTCCCTCCTGCTCCCCAGGGTGCACCTCAGCAAGAGATTCAAGGGCAGCCTTTAAACCCCACTGAGCAAGGGGCAAAGCAGACATGCTCAGCTTTCAGTGAAAGGCAAGTAGCGCTGCTGCCACAGTCTGACAGCTGAGTGACCCTTTCATTACAGTCTGAGGGCAAAGCTAACATCACTTCAGAGTCAGAGGAGAGGACACTATGCCTGTTAAATAGTTGGAGAGCAGAACCCCCACATAACAGTCAGATGTCAGGCTAACACAACTGCTACAGTCGGCAGTGCAGGACAATAGCCACGGCATCTCAGGGCACAGGACAATACCTTTTTTTTTGGTGAGGAAGAGTAGCCCTGAGCTAACATCTGTTGCCAATCCTCCTCTTTCTGCTGAGGAAGATTGGCCCTAGGCTAACATCTCTGCCCATCTTTCTCTGCTTTATATGCGGGACACCTGCCACAGCATGGCTTGATAAGTGGTAAGTAGGTCTGCGCCCGGGATCCAAACCTGTGAACCCCGGGCCGCCGAAGCAGAGAACACAAACTTAACCGTTACGCCACCGGGCCAGCCCCAATAGCTTTTTTATTATAGTCAGAGGGTAGGCTAACACCACTCTTACAGACAGAATGCCGGACAACAGGCTGTTTAGGGAATCAGGCAGGACAACCCCATGTCTTTAAGAAGGCAGAGTAACAGCCTCTGCTGTAGGCTGAGGGCAGGACAACACCCACTAATTATGATTGTAGAGTAGGGCAACACTTCTAATTCAGGTGGAGGCAAGGCCACAGCCCCCGTTAGAGGCGCAGGGCCTGGCACCATCTCCTGCAACAGGTAGAAGACAGAACAAACACGCCTGCCCAGGCCCCCAGGTACAGGTAGCTGACTGGCAGGACTTTCTGTTGTAGGCAGGAGGCAGGAAACTTGTCACAAGGGCTAGCAGGCCAAGAGTCTCCCTTTCCCCCGGGGCCAGGCTAAAGGTGGCACCCATCATAGGCTGAAAGCCAGGTCACTAGTGTTATGAGGAACTCCAGGTGGCCTCTATCAGGCCCAAGAGCTGGGCCTTGACCTCACCTAGAGGAAAGTATAAATGCGTCACCACCCCTGAGCCTACATGAGTGAGCGGGTTGGGGGAGGGGAGCCCACAGAGCATTGTTGGGGTTTGTGAGGTCGAAGCTGATGCTGTGTGCACCTCAGCTGCAAAGGGAAGGGGGAGACAGGAAATGGGTGGGGGGAAGAGGAAGCCTGAGTTGGAAAGTCAGACAAAGAGGGTAACACAGAAACAAAGGCTGAGAGATGCAAAGTAAAAAAAAAACCCTACAGAGTGACGCAGAGCACAGAGTCCAGGCTGCAGGCCCCAGCCGCCCTTGCTGTGAACCTAAGCACTTCACAGTCCATCTCTGGGCCTCAGTACAACAGTAATAATACCGCTGGTGATAGCAACAATAAGCAATAGACAGTTCATCTTTATTGAGTGCTTATTGTGCATTGTCCCACTTAAGACATATTCAACTTCTTGTAGAGTGAGAATTAGCATTTCCATTTTAGAGGTAAAGAAACAGATTCAGGGGTTAAGGAACCTCTTCAAGGTCTGACATAAATAAAGCGTGGAGCTGGCTTTGAACCCATTCATCTGCCCATTTACCTAAGTCACCTTCCCTGGGGGTGATTTAGGATTTTAAGTTCTTTCCCAGTTCTGACCTTGATAAGATAGAGAGAGAGCTGGAGCTGTGGGGGAGACGGAGATCCATCAGTCCGTCTCCATCCCTAGCCCCAGCTTTCTCTCCTGCAGTGGAATCCCTGGTCCCAGCAACAAACGACATACAGCGACCTTGGGCTTGAATAAATGACTGCAGAGACCTTGGTGGGAAGCAGAAAGGGCGTTTATTGAGGAGCCTGGGGTGTATGAGCTCCTCCCCTTCCTCCCGCACACCCCCAGCTGGGGCAGCAGTGGGGACAGGATGCTAGCACTTTACGCTCCCAGAGAGCTGAGTGGCCCCCAACCCCCACCGCTGCCAGGTGCTGGCGCCTCTGGGGCACCCCTCCCTTCTCCCTTCCCGGGTGGGCTGGGGAAGGGGCGGCGGGTGCCCCAGGAAGTACGCGGGTGCCCCTCAGCAGAGGGTGAAGCGCCGCGCGCTGATGTTCATGCGCGTGAGGCCCAGGTGCCGCAGCGGCGGGGCCAAGGCCAGGCCAGCCCCCGGCTCCAGCTCCAGCTCCAGCTCGGCCTCGTCCAGTAGCTCCTGGTGCAGGTGACAGGCTTGGTCCACCTTCAGCCGGTGCAGCTGGGCCCGCAGCCGCAGCAGCTGCCCCGCCAGCTGCCGGTCCTGAGCTTGCATCTCCCGCTGCGGCCGAGAGGGGGCGTGAGCCTGCCGGACCCGCCCTCAGCGGCTCAGCGCCATTCTTCCCTTCCTGTCAACACCCTGGGTCTTTGCACTGGCTGTGTCCTCCCCACCCTCACCTCAGCTTGATCTCTCGCTCTCTCTCAGATCTTGCGCCACACTGGTGGTTCTAAAACCGGGCTAAGGAGCCATTATTAAACAAATACAGGTGCCTGGGGCCCCATCCCAGATCAACCAAGCAGAATCTCCCATCTGGAGCCTCCACCTCTTTATATTTGCACATAGCGGGTTGAGCCACTTATTCAACACTCGCCTCCTCAGATTCTGCCTACAGCGTGGTCAGTGCCTCCTTTTGAACTTTATTTTGTACTTTTGGGATATAGCAATTCCCAGAGTAGGAGAGGCCATGCCCTCCCCACCTGTAACTGGTGACCACCAAGGGCAGGGCTCTGTCCCCTGAGCCACAGGAGCAGAAGGTCAGTAGATTGGATGGAATCCTTCTTCAGCAAGGCTCCCTGAATGAAACACTGGACAAGTCTATCCCTGGCTCCTCAGCCTCAAGACAGGGCCACAGGTGTGGCCGGTTGCTGGAGGTGGGGTCCATTCTCATCCCCTCCCCACACCCGTGGTCTTGGGCCCTAAGGAGAACTGGCTCCGAGTCCCTCTATAAGGCTGCTCACCCCTCCAGACTCACCAGCTCCCGTCGGAGCCATTCAAGGGCGGAGTCCATTGAGTCGAAGCCGCAGATGGCCCCAGGTCCCCCTGGCTCAGGTCTGGCTTGGGCCCTGCGCCAGGCCTGGCTCTGGACCCGGGCTGTCCACTCCAGGTATGAGGGCCGCCGTGTCTGCAGCCGCAGCTTGGCTGTCAGTGCCTTCACAGAGTCCAGGCTCTCTTCCTCCTCATCCTCCTCATCTTCTTCACCCACTGCCTGAAATTTCAGTGGCCCCAGGGACATGGTGGGTTTTGGGGTGAGTGACAGGGCAAGGCTGCAGCTCTGGGATTAGGGAAAGGCTGGCAATATTGCCCAGAGAGAGGTGGCAGAAGCTGAGGGTGAAAGCGTGCCAGGGAGTGGGCAATGGTGAATGTTCAAGGTGGGTCCCAGAGACTGAGTGTGTCAGGGTGGGTGAGGAGATGGATATGGGAGGCCAACTGTGCAACGGCTGGGATTTTCCTGAACTGCTAACCAGGGAGCCACGTGATGCCCATCCGGGTGGGGGCAGGAGGAGCCCTGCTCCTCTGGTCCCTTGGATAAATTTTATTGTCTTTGCCCAGAAGGAGACACCCAGTTCCCAGAAAGGAAGTTGCTCCAGGATAAGGAAAGCATCATTCACACCAGAGTCTTGGCCCTCTTCCCAAGATGCAAGTTAAGGGAGTGGGGAGGGGACAGGAGACTGACAAGCTGTCCCTGTCCTCACTCATGACACTGGCCCTTCAGCAAAGGAATAGTGTCCAGATCCTGGCCTGGGAGTCAGGAGACCTGGCTTCTGGTGCTGGCTCTGTGGGACCTTGGACAAGTCACTGCCTCTCTGTTGGGACAGAGGGATGATTTCAAGCTATATTCTAAGGAACTTTAGGTTCCCTTGAAAATCCCTCAAGGACTGCGTGCCAGGTAAGGACAGAGCTGTGGACGGGCTCCTAGACCTTCCTCCCCCTGCCCCTCCCAGGGCTCCAACCAGAGCCCTATATTTACACTTTGTATTGAAATATAACAGACACCTAGAAAAATTCACGTCATAAATACATAGCTTGATGAATTCTCCCAAACGGAACAGGCTTATGTAACCAGCACCCAGATCAAGCAACAGAGTATTACCAGCATCTAGGAAGCCGGCTTTGTGCTCCTGGCCTGGGACTACTCTCCTAAGGGTAACGCTACCCTAATTTCTGATAGCACGGATGAGTTTTGCCTTTTTGTATACTTTCCAGTGGTTCTCAAACTTTAGCATGCATTGGAATCACCTGGAAAGCTTGTTAAAACACATTGCTGGGCCCCACTCCTAGAGTTTCTGATTCAGTATGTATGGGGTAAGACCTGATAATTTTCATTTCTAATGAATTCCTATCCCGGCTGATGCTGCTGATCTGGCATTTTACAATTTGTACCCTTTTATGTCTACTTCCTTTCATAGAGAAGTTCCAATTTTATGTTTATATTATGGGGGCCCACCTATGATTTCACCTGTTTATTTGAGAAAAGGGTTTTGTGCACACACACACAAGCCTGGAACTTAGTGGACAAGAAGGCCCTTGGAAGGCAAGAGTTTATCTTCTTCCTAGTCATCAGCACTTAGCAAAGTGCTACATCAATGTTTAAGAAATGAAAGAATAACTGGATGGATAGATGAGTCCTCCAGTAAATCTGTTTAAACTCTTATAATTTACCAGCTTAAGTGTGTCTCTTGACAGACTGAAGACCCTCCGAACAGCACCTTCCTCAGTCATCCTTGGGTCCCAACACCAAATATAGGGTTCAGCTCCATGTATGGGCAATTCATATTCCGTCAAAGGATGGAGTGATAGGAGATGGGGCTCCCGAGGGCAGGACTAAGCCAGAAGTGGCCCCCATAGAGGGCGCTGTCAGGCAGGGACTTCCAGCTGTGGTGGAGGAGGGGCGACAGCTACACAGCTGCTTGCATTTAAGGTGGACCAAGGGATTTTCCCCAGGCAGCCTCAGACATAGGGGAGGAAGTAGACAGTTCCCAGTTTCACACCCACTCTTTCCAGCAGGGTACTGAAGAGGTAGTATTTTTCTTTCTTTTTTCAATCAGCAGGAGTACCAGCACCCCAAAGTTTTAAAAAAAAGAAAAATATTGAGCGCCTCCTGCGACTCAGGCACTACGTAAAATGGCTTTACGCAAGATAATTCTCCCCATTTCACAGAGGATGAAATTGAGGTTTCCTAACAGGTTCCGGCTTGGGTCCTTACTACGAGGTGCTGGCAATAGAAGGGGGAAATTCCTGTGAAACTGTGCGATCTCTTTCTCCAAGGGGCCTCCTTAACAGCTGTCCTGCCGGCGTCGCCAGCTGCCCAGCCAGTTCCTGTCCCTTTCGGAGCCCGCGCTCGCCCCGCCTGACGCCCCTGGAGTCTGTCGTTCTGCTGGGCCCCAGGCCCACCGCTAGCAGAATGGAGTTCTCAGAGCTGATCCGTACCGGCCGGGCCCAAGCCGAGCTCCTGCGGGGCCCAGAGGCGCCCCCGCTGCGCGGCACGCTGTGCGTCACCGGCCACCACCTGCTGCTGTCGCCAGGGCCCCAGGCGACTTCAGACTTGTGGCTGCTGCTGTTGCGTAGCGTCGACTCCATCGAGAAGCGGTGAGACGTGGCGGGGGCGTCCCCGTAGTTAGGGAGCGCGCGGCTCCGCGGGGAGAGGGGGAAGGGCAAGCGCAGTTGGAGCCGGTGCCTCCCTGCATAACGTCCAATCCCAAGAAACTCGTTTCTCCTCCCCTGGTGTGTGTGGGGGACACTAAGCCTAAACCCGTCTATCCCCAGGGTCGCGGGTGACTCTGGCACCATCACGCTGCGCTGTAAGGACCTGCGAGTGCTGCAGCTGGACATTGAGGGCGTGGAAGCGACGCTGGACATCGCCCGCTCCATCGAGGTACGCCAGGGGTGCATCAGAGGCCCTTAAGCTACCCCTATCCTGTAACGAAGGGAGTACACAGGGGCAATTGCGCAAGGGGACTCAGCATCCAGTTATCCCGGGGTACAGCTAATGGCCAGGGGATGCAGGGTGGTCTGGAGAGGCGGGAGCTGCGGAAGGGCTAGAAGGGCGCGGGTGAGATGTTTCCGACCTTTCTCAGATCCCCTGACTTCCTTCCCCAGGCGCTGTCCTCCCTGGAATCGGTCATCACCTCCTTTCCGTTCTTCTACCGTCCCAAGGGCTTGAGATTGGGCGACGCCTGGCACTTCCACCCGCCCGAACACTATTACAAGCGAGTAGCTCGCGAGGTGGGCGCGGTCGTGGGGGCCAGGGGATGTGGAAGCGCCGGGCCTGCAGGGGGCGCGGGGACGGGGCACTCATTGGATGCCCTAGACCTGGCCTTTGCCCCTCCCCGCGCCGCAGACCAACGCGTGGCGGCTGAGTGAGGTGAACGAGGACTTCAGCGTGTGCCCCAGTTACCCGCGCGCAGTGATCGTGCCTCGCGCGGTGGATGACGATGCCCTGAAGCGCAGCGCCCGCTTCCGCCAGGGAGGCCGCTTCCCTGTGCTCAGCTACCACCACGCTCCCAGCGGAACCGTGAGCCCCGCCCTCCCGACCCCGCCGCTTGGACCAACTGCATCTCTCCTCGGCCCTTTTCTGCACTGGCCGGCCCAATTCGTAGCTCGGCTGCTGCCCGGGCTCCGGCCCTATTCTGGCCCCGCCTCTTGCTGCCTCCAACAGGCCCCGCCCCCTCTGCTCAATCCAGCTTCACTGACTCTGACCCCGCCCCTCTCCCGGGTTCGGGAGTCTGGCCTTTCTCTGGCCCCGCCCACGGCGGATCTGGGCCGCTGGAAGCCTAGTGCCTTCTTTGTCAACCCAGGACCGACCCACGGTCTATTCATCCCGTCTCTACCCACTCTGGCCACAATCCACACAGACCTGGGTGCTACACCTTCCGAGTTCCGCCCATAAGTCTCCTGCTTTCCAGCCCGCCCCTGCCAGCTCCAGACCCGCTCCAGTGTGTAGACCTGGCCTAGGGGCTCCCAGAGCGAAGTCTCTGAACTAGGGCTGGGTGGCTACAGCTCTCGGAGCTGAGTCCCTGTCCGCAGGTGCTGCTACGTTCCAGCCAGCCCCTGACCGGGCCTCAGAAGCGGCGCTGCGCTGAGGATGAGGAGATGCTGCGAGCTGTGCTGGCTGGGGCTCGCCCTGGGGCCCGGGGCTTCATCGTGGACACGCGCTCATCCCAGACCGCCAAACAGGCCCGCATGACTGGCGGCGGCACCGAGGCCAAGGCCGCCTACCCTGGCTGGAAACGGCTGCACCGGCCCCTGGAGAGGTAAGGAGCCTTCCCATCCTCTTTTAGGCACACTCCTGCAGGACTCTTCATGGATGTGGGGGGTGCGGAGTAGGGAGCATGTCTTCCAGGAACCTTGAGGACTGTTAGGACTTTCCTGGTAGCCATCCCACCAGGTGGGCATCCCCATTTGCAGATCCCCACTGACAGAGCTCATTACTTTCTAGGCACCCCAACTCTGCCTGTGAAAGAAAAAGCACCTCTTTACATGACACTGAAAATGTCTTCCAGGAACTACCTCACCACAGACACACACAACGCCCTCCCCATTAGTCCCCTGTACCTGCACAGTTGTATCTGTTCCCTCTGTCTCCAGGTCATGGTAGTACCAAGAGGAGGTCCTGAGGGAGTTTTTGTGCTTTGAGGAGAGTGGACTGCTCCCCTATCCAGAATATAAAACTCACTTTATTCACTTCTTCCACCGACAGTGACTGAGCAGAGGGTGAGATGGTGGCCGACCCAGACATGGCTGAGAGATCAGCAGTAAATGGGCAGTTTGAATTCAATGTGATAAGCAGCATTGCAGAGGAGGCACCCCTCTCTATAAGTAATCCAAAGAGTTTCTCTGAGATGATGATGCTTTAGCTGAGACCCGAAAGAAAAGGAGTTAGCCAGAGGGCCAGAGAAGGACATTCCAGGTAGAGGGAACTGCTGGTGTGTAGAAGCAGGGAGCCTGGGCATTTGTCCTGTTTGGGGAACTGCAAGTACTTCAGTATGGTGGGAATGTAGAGTGTGAGGTGGAGGTGGAGATGGGGCTAAAGGGGTGACAGAGGCCAGAGCAAAGGTCTTGAATGCCATGATTATGAGCTTAGACTTTATCCTACAGGCAGTGGGGAGCCACTGAAGGCTCTTAGGGCTGAAAAAGTCTCCATTAGATTTTCTGCCTGGAGATCACTGGTGATCTGAAGCAGAACAGTTTCTGGGAAGTAGGAGCAGACACCAGAATCCCAGGAGTATTGTTTCTTTTGTCAGACTGGGGGACTTCAGGGTACAGTGACACTGCCATCAAATTGGGGTTTTCCCAGGGCGTTCTTTGTTTCTCCAGAGGGCTATGTGACCCCTCCCCAGATGATGCTGTGCCCCTCGAACAGACTAGGTCTCCCCAAAGGGTCTTGGGTCTCCTCCATTAGATTGAGGAACCCTCAAGAATACTGAATCATTTCCACCAGATTGGTGGGCTCCCCAAAGAGTCCTGTGTTCCCCTCATCAGATGGGTTCCCCTGAGGGTTCTATGTCTCCCTTATTAGTCTGGAGCACTTGTTCCCAGGCTGTGCTCACCTGAGCTTGGGCTGGGGGAGGGATGACCAGACTCTCACTTGCACAGGGGGCGGCCCCTACAGGAGAGCTTTGTGCGCCTGGTGGAGGCCTGTGGGGAC